CAACAATGTCCAGACAAGCGAGGCTGAGCGGAAATATCCACAGAAACAACAATATCACCAACTGTTTAAACATAATACTTTCAGAAGTTTTCAACCCTATTGATAACTAAATTACTTTGATAAATGTCAAAGATAGAAATAAAATATAAACAATGCTGTAGCTCTCCAAAGTATCTAAGCTATTGCCTTGTGCCTTGTATTTTCACAAATTGAGTTCTTGTCAGCTTTTCACCTGTTTCGATTAATCAATATTTTATACAAGTGTATATACATATTAAGCTACATATAGGTACACTGGGCAATAAATAGTTGACTCTCTTATTTATTAAAAAGGATTTTTTGGGGGTCTTCTATTCTGATATAGAAATGGGAATTTCGTCAGACAATTTTTGCCAATAATGTTGAGAGCTTTGATTAAGCTTTAAATATAAAGTGAAGTGAATTCTCTTTCTAGACACATCCATGCTCAAAACTTGCAAGTCAAATCTTCAGCAATTCAAATTTTTGTAATTAATGAGAATGAACAAAGAAGGGATTTTAGTTTAATGTCAAGTTAAATTTTTGCCAGATATCGAAACAAACGTGCATCCATCTTGCTTGCCCAACATATTGCTTTGACACTTTCCTGGGACATGGTGCATGTTTTTATTGCAATGCGATTTCTTTTGCCACTGCAACGCCCCTTTTTGACTTTGTCAAATTCAGATTTGACAATGGCACGCGCCAGATTTTTCATATTTTCTTACTTTTTTGCATGGTTTGTACTGCTCAGGAATGTGAAATGAAAAAAATAAATATTAGATTTACTTGGCTGCCTGACAAACTGCCAGCAGCTGAGCTGGCTTTGTGGATGCAACTCCCGCCATCTGCATTTGGGCTTAAGTCAATTTTCTTGTTCACTTCGCAGACAAGGACCAAGAGAACAGCTGACAACTGGCAACTGGCAGCTGCCATCAGGGGCAGATGCAACTGTCGCGCTTTCAGTATTGACAGCTTGGCGGTCGCGTCTGCCCCGGGGGACAATTATTTCAGTTTATCACGCGTCGCACGCGCTCAAGTTGCGACCCGGGCCAGGTCCGGGTTCCTATCCGTAAATCTTGCCGGCAGCAAAAGCCACTGAATGTGTATTAAGTTTTCGGTCTGCGGTCAGTTGCCAATAAATTCGATGCCCGTGGGTGGCTGCTGCTCCGTGTCCTGCTGTTCCGGCTTCAGACATTGTTTCTGCTGTGCTGTGTAATTGCGTGAAATAACAGTTTCCATTGGTGCTCGGTTTCTCTTGGCCCCGTCTGCCAAATCAAGTGGAAATGCCAAGGTGATTACTTTTAGCTCCTCACATTGCTCTGCAGCTTAAGTTTCTCCCAGTGCAAAGTTTAAATCGTTGGCCATACAAAATTAAAACTTCAATTAAATTAGTAATACACATCTGGCCATGATTTTGTCACAATATAAATAACATATACCATGAACGCGATCCACAATTCGCACGTCATCCAGCTGATTGTCATTGTTCCTTCTTGTAAATCCCCCTCAAAAAAAAAAGTGCTAAGCAATACAAGTTGTTGTTTTAGCTAACCATAAAAAGCATACAGAAGCGATGCCTGACAGGCGGCCAACCAGGCGCCATTCGACCCACCCAAGCATTCGAGATATAATAAAAATATATTTAGCAAAAAAATATGCTTTCTTCTTGCAGAACAATTTCAAGTTATGGCAACAAAAACAACTAAAAATACACGATACACGAGTTCGCCGTCCGGATGATACCCTCAGCAGAATTCCTTAATGTTTTTGTCGCTAAATTTAAATTTGTCCTTTGTTAGACTACTTTAAGAAATGAAACAAAGTGGAGCAGAAACCAGGCAGCTATCTACAAATTAAGGCACAGATCATTGGAAAGGGTTAAGTAAATAGGGCATAATGATTCAGTTGAAGTTGAATAATCCCGTGACAGGACGTCAGTAGCCATAAATCTCAAAATTCTAAGAATTTTCAATTTTCACATATGCTATATATACCCGAAGCTAAGGAAATGTATATTTTCGTCGTCAGCTTGCCCTTTTTCCCAACAATTTATAAATTAAAAATGTATTATTTATACCAAATAATTTTAGAAATTTTTGCACGCATATCTCGGAACTCAGTGAAACTAAAGGCAACGAAAGGAAATTATGTTGGTCCTCCGACTTCCAGAAAGTGCAAAAATAACTTCCTTTTGATACTTAGAAATGAAGACTTGCTCTTTGGTGGCTGCAAACATTTGAAGTCATGAAAATTTCATAAAGATCGGGTCTATTCAAAAATGCACTTCTACGAATGCTGAGGGGCTGTGGGAAGAAGAAGAAGCACAGAGGTTGCATAAACTACGCAGTTGTGGTTGTGTGTGAGTGAGTGTGTGGTGTATGTGTGTAGATATGCTTTGAAATATACGTCGAAAAGGAAGTTGGAATTTTTGCTCGGGAAGCTCGGCGGAAATACAGGGTATTTCGCTCAATTCCTTGCAGAGTTATATGAACTTTTGACATTTACATATCCCTTTTGAGTGCTTGCGCTTTAATATGGCTTTTAACGCGACAGGAACAGACAGGCGAAATCAAAAGAAAGAGCGAACCGAGGCAAGGCGAAAAAAATCCAAAAGTTAATAATAAAATGCGACAAGAGCAGCTTAAATTGAATTTAAGCATATGTTAGGCTTAGTTATGCTGATGCAAACAAATTGCCGATTTTGCCAGCGCTCAGCACAAAAGGTGGCAACATGTTGGATTTGACTGAGTTTGCAAATGGATCAGGGATTGAGGAAGTAAAAGGAGAGTCAGAAGCGTCAGCAAATCTTCGAGCACATTAAGAGTTAAGTATAAATAATCTGTCGAGTTTGTTTTTAGCATCAATTTAAAGTTCGAAATTATTATTATTATTGTTATATAATATAAAGCCTAAAGGTAAATTCAATTCTCAAACTCCGAGGTCGCAAAGTTAGCGAAGTTGCAAACTTTTACAACTAATTTACCAAGGGATTCATCAATATGTCAATAAGTATTTCATCTTTTATATTGGGAAAGTTTGTTTCCGCACAAAGTACTTAAAGACTTCATTAAAACAAAATAGAATAACAAGACGAAGGGCCGCACAATAACAACCGTAACGTTGGATGCCATCTTATAACAACGTCAAAGTACACAAAAAACATTAAATTAATTTCCTTGTCTGACGCACACAACAAAAGTCAATTTCAATTTTGTCATTGTTGTTGCCGGTGCTAGTTGTGCATTTCCGGCATTTCCGAAATCAGGAAAGAACATTTATCTGAAGATTAAATGCCCTTGCCAACATATGACAGATGCACAACTTATCTGGATTCAGCAATGTGTTTATAAAAAAAAGCAGGTCGGGAACAGACAAATGTGTAACATTGCATCCACCGTTTTTTTCTATGTGACTTTTATGATGTTACATATCGCGTGATAAACTTATAGTACCCACTGTGAGAGTATAATAAAAGAAGCCCTCCAGAAAAATCGTGGAAATTAAGTTGAGGTCAGAAACATTCGACTGCGCAATACTCTGACCTGCTGTGTGGCACTTTTACAGCGACTTTTAAGCGAGCACTTAAGAACTTAGTTATGTATGGAAGATATTGATTTCTTTCTATTTACGTAAGCGTGCCGGGTGCATTGTGTTTTTTTTTAAAGGCAGACAATCAGTAATACAATCAATCATATTCTGGTGGCTCCAGCTCTTAAGCTGCACGAGTCATAGAATTCCGGACCCTCGTGGACATTGTAAAAGAGTAAAAACACTTCAATTGAGGCGCGTGTGCAAGAGCAAGAGTATCTTGCTTCAATAACAACAAATTCCTGTTTAAGTTGCAAGCAAATGTAGTCGAGAATGCCCAGCCAAAAGTTACTCTATATTCGGCTTCGCATATACCGATTACCTATTGGCACTTGGCCCAAGCTACCTCAATTGCTTTTATTTGGACAGCCAGAGGGACATTGCCAAGCAACCAATGCCATATGTTATTATTTAGTTCAGAGAACAGGGTATATTTATTTTATTGGCTGCATCGTTTGTTGCAATATTTGTGTCATATACAAAAGTGGATTGCACATGGCAATTACTTTAAAAATAGGCATGCAGAAGCATGCATGCATGCAGCACTTGCCACTTTCACTGGCTGCGCAACAATGTTGCATCAACACCCGCGCGCGCACACACGCACACACACACGCACAACTGTGTGATTGAACTACGCCAATGGTTTTTATGAATGAAATGCAAACAGCTGGGCTAAACAGTCGCCGAGCCTGGCAACATGGCGCATGCGCAATACAATTTGAACATGAATTGGCGGCAGCCGCAAAATCTAGCGGAATTCGGCTGGCGGCGCAGTTGGCTGTCAGCGTTCAACGTGTTCGTGCGCAACGTGGACCTGCCCCAGGGTTGTCTCTCGCTTACATAGGTACATCTCCCGGTGACGATTTCTGTTTAAAAATATCACTTGCCAGCGGAGAGCAAGATGACAACATAGAGCCAATTAGAGTGAAAGAGAGAAAGTGCGTAAAACAACAAAAAAAAACGAGCAACAGAGAAAGATAGAGAGAAAAAGTGATGATATTTTTGTTTATATGCACGGCGCTTATAAAAAAGAGAAATAAAATTTAAAGTAAAAAAAACACATAAAAATACTCAAAATAATTACCAAATTATTTACAAAGGTAACCAAAAAAGTCTTCAAGGTGCCGCCGTTAAATTCGAAATGTGAAAAGTGCAGCAACTCAAAGTTTAGCTAGATTCGGATTAACAGCTGGTAACGCAATACACAAGATCGAAGTAAATTAAAAACTTATACTCATAAAATGAAAAGGAAAAAAAACAACAAAACAACAACATCAAGTGGAAAACCATAAACCAGCGAGCAGCACATAAATTTATAAATAAATAAAAGAAAATATATACACATACATTTGTAGAGTATTTGTGTGTGTGCTCCGACTAAATGCCAAAGAGAAGCAATCAAAGAGCAAAAATTGAAACAGCAAAAATATTTAAAAGGTGAAAACATATCAAGAAATTAGCCCTGTCAACCAAACGTTACAAAATTAAAGAATGAGTACCCAAAGATGTGTATACACGCGTCTGTTTGTGTCGCTTGTAATATCCCCTCATGTATGGTAATTATCCACAAGTGATGGCATCCCTTGGCATTGATGCGTGACATTTCTTTTATAAAATATGCAAATGAGTCAACGTGCTTCCGCCAGGGAATTTGAATCAGTGCATCGGTTGGAGAAAAATGCAGGGACACGTGAACACGGGATACGAACAACAACTGATTCAGATAAACGGAGACACATTTTTCGCATTGTAAATTAAATTCCCAAGGTAAATGCATAAATCTTAATATGCCTATTAAAATAAGTAAGAATATTACAGTCGGCTGGCACCGACTGCCTCATACTCGTTCACACACAGGCTGCCAGACAGATATGTTTAAAAGTCAACCGATTTTATCTTTTTTGGTCACGATATAAAAGTTTCATATTTTTTGAGGAGCTCGTCGTTAGTCGTCATTAAATATTCTGCACTCCATCTGTAAGTCTGCCATTTGTCTGCCAATACTTTCAGATTTATCTTCAAATAAGCTTTTCAGCAATCATCATTAAAAATTTGTTATCAAAATTTGTTGCTCGACAACTGTTAAAGATGTGGACTTTCGTACCTTGCCACGCCCCAGTGGGCGTAGGCAAATAATCTTAAGACAGAATCTGACGCGGGTATACATTGGGTTTATTCAAGTTTCAAGTCCCTAACTTCAATAGCGCAAACAAAATATTGGGTTCATGCAGACAGACGCACTTACGAACGGCCGGACGGAAGGGCGGAGGGCCAAAGGGACAAACAGTCGGACGGGCGAAGGGTGAAACGGGTAAATGAACGGACGGGCGGGGCACGCTAAGGGACATTAAAAAAAATCAATTGACTCTTTTCACATTGAGAACGGGTTTTTATTTATTTATTTAATTTAATTTTGTTCTTGGGAAAATGTTATTAAGATGTCTTGTAAACAAAAAACCAGCCTTACCTGTGCGCTAGTTAATATGCAGCTTTAATGGGCGGCATTCTCTGGCGGCTCTTCTTCTTATTCAAACACACACGCACATACAAAATATTACATTAGCTGATATATCAAAAAATGCCCAACTTCAAAAGGCAACTCTATTTGCACGACTTGCTCCTCTTTCACTTTTCTATCGCAAAAACGATCACATTAAAAAAAATAACACACAAGAGCGAGCACACCTGAGTTAACAATTCAACCCTTAGCGAGCGGCCACGCAGCCTAAACTAAAGTCCAGCTTTAAGGGGCAGCCCTATTTTACGGCTTCCTCCGTCTCCTTTTATTATGATTCCGTTAGACATTTTCTATCGCGCGCACGAACACATGCGATCACACAAAAAGAAACAACAAAATAACACACACACACGAACACCAGCGCTTTAACACATCAGCCTTTACCGAGCGGCCACGAAGTTTCAACTAAAGTCCAACTTTAATGGGCAGCTCTATTTATACGGCCAGCTCGCCTCCTTTTATAATGACGCCGATTGTCATTGTTCTATCGCGCACACGAGCACAAACGATCACACAAACGATCACACAAAAAAAACACAAAAAAAAAAACAAAAAAAAACACACGAACCGAAACGCGGCGCGACTTTAACTGAAGCAGAACTCCACTGAGCAGCTATATATATACTGCAGGCTCTTCTTCTTTCCATCGTGCAGACTCTTGCAATGCACTTCTTGCAAAATCACGCACTCCTAATCTGCTCTTCTTCTTTCAATCGTTGCAAAATACGTTCTTGCTGGCCCGCGTGCTCCCATTGCGCTCGCGCTCTTGAGTGACTCTTTGAGTTAAAGATCGATTTCGTGTGTGAGTAGATTTTACAATAGATAATCCAATTTTAATTGCCATGAAAGCTGTCAGATTCGGCTTATCAGCATTTGAGCCGAAATTTTGCTTGTTCTAAACGATGATTATTTTACAATCAAGCCATATTTGATGTCATTTAACTGACAGCTTATTTAATTAAACAAAGTGCGTTTTATTAAAAAAACACTAAAAGGTCTTTCATTTATCTTCAATTAATACATAACTTATTAACTAGAGAGTGACATAGAGAGTAATTCTCTATGTATATAAACAGCTGTGGCCCTCTGTCAGCCTGTTTCTATGCAAAATCCGTTTAAGAGCTGAACTTTGCACAGGTTCTTTTTGTTTCCGCAATCATCCAGATCGGACCACTATATCTTTAAGCTGCCACGAAAGCCATATAATTTTATGGGCAACAAGAGAGAGACGCCAAGGGAAAGTTCTTAAGATTATCGTAGTTGATAAGCTTCTGCTTATTAAAACTTGAGAAACGTGTTGGCTGTGCCACAGCCTTGAAATCCAGCTCTCAATAAAAAACAAAGTTATAATCAGTTTTAATTTAGCATTATCCTTAACCAAATTTGATAATATTTACAAAATTAAGCCAGAGTTTAGTCGAGTTGAAATCGTTTCAATGTTTTTTAAACTTTGAATTATTAATTTAATAATTAAATTATATTTAAAAAAACACAGTGTAAGAGCGAAAATGCTTACTTTTCATATGTATTTGAGGCGTCAAGTTACGCTTATAATTTTTAGAAATATCTTTTTTTGTTTTATGTTCCTTTTTAAGAAAACATGTCAAATAAATCCATGCCAACTATTCAAACACTAAATGCCTAGATTAAAATATCTCGACAATAACTACATTTATTTTTGTTTATTATTACTTACAGAAAAAAATCAATGTCTACGATAGAAATTTACAATGTTATCCAATACTTTTTAAAAAGCAGATATGCATTTTGTACATATACTATTTCAAAATTGCTGCTATCCAAATATTGCCTCGATTAAACCATTTAATATTTGGGCTTCAAAGTGCAGGGCAAATAAAATGGTACAATTGAAATAAAGTTTAAATCTGGCCAAATAAAGTTTTGTGCAAATTGAGCACCAAGTAAATAAACGCACACATTCAATTCGCAGGCAAATAAGCAAGCACTCACATCCAGAAGAAAATACATTTTTCGGGTGTTTTTCATGGAAAATGTATTGAGGCCTACCTGGAAAGCCTAACCACAACACGCCCAAATGGCCCTGAGGCTTAGTGCTGCATTGCAAATTGTGGTGCTGTTGCCACTTAATGTCGAGATGATTAAGTATACGCCGCATGCTACGTCGCATCTCACGCTGCAGCAGTCATTTACGTAAGAGCTCAGCAGCATCATTTCAAAAATAACTGCGTTGCCCATAACGTGGCTCGCAAAATACATTTGCTTAAGCTTTAGCAGACATCAGACATACTTGTAACCAAATGTAGACGGCAGGCATCAGACAAAGCGCATAAAAGGATAATAGACGCACCCAGGCATAAATCAGCCGCTTAATGTACAGGCCATGATGGTTGCTGGGTTGAGGGGGAATTGAGGAGGCGGGGGGATTGCTGTTCAGTGTCGGGCACCTGCTCATTGAGCAATCAAATTGCGCAAATTCGCACAATTATCCTAACAAATGTGCACGTTGATCCTTTGCATTTGCCGCATTGCAATGTCCTCATTAAAAATGTAGAAAGAAAATATGTAAATTGACGAATTACACGAGACAAACGTGGGCCAAACGCCAGGCTCTGGCAAATTTTCATAGCAATTCTTTCACAATTTTCTCTGGTTTTTCTTTGCTTTCGCTGAGAATCCACACAGAAGAAGGCCTTGAAATTGTCAACTAAAAATAAATCGCAAGAGTTTTTAGCGCCCGCTACCGCTCGCAAATGTTTATTATTATTTGTTATTTCTTTTTTTGTGAAAAGCGAGCGCCGAAATATAATAATTATTTGCTGTTTTCATTTTGTGTCTCAACATGCCTCAAACTCGTGTGAACATATCTCAGCGTCTATATATTTCATTTCAATTTATATGCTGTGTCGCATGCTCTTAACATGCTATAAATTCTATACTTGCCCATATACCAACTGCCATATACCATCATATAGCATACCCATATACCACACACATGCATCCATAAATTACCCGACTACATTATGTACAGCAAGCACAGCAGCCGACAACAATGCCTCCAAAATCGCTGATAAGTTAACCTAGATGTGTCGCAGTCGGCGAACACACAATGGAACTAACTAGGCGGCGACAATGTAGTCCACGTCATTTACAGCTATCCAGCGTGCCGCATAAATTAATATACTTAAGCATTTAATTAAATAAATTTCAGAAATATGCCCAAGAAAGTCCAAAGCAAACTGAACAATGTGCCACGCACAGTGGCGCCCCTTCAAAGCGAAACTAATTTAAAAGTTTACTTAACTCTCTAAGTACTTTCAAGCCCTCTAGGTATAATTATTTGCCAAGGACAAGGCGTATTCCATGTTAAAAGCTAAATAAATGAAATTACTATATAAATATATATAGCTAGCGGGTATTATCCGTCATTGCCAACATTTCACATATTAATTGCGAATGTGTAAATCTACTTCTATTCGTTTCTACTTCTATTCGTTTCTAATAAGTTTAAGGTCTGTTAAATAAGGAACCTAAAGTCTGAATCGGGGAATAGTCTTGGCGTGCGAACCTCAAAGTCGAAAAATAAAATCTAATTCATCAAACCTTTGGCCCGCATTTCCCATTCAAAAGAGCCGGACATCACGAAAAGCGAATCAGTTAATTTACCGCATCGAACCCTGAAAATTTGTTGTAATCCTAACGAATGTTAAACAAAAAACTTTCATGCAACCGTTTTCCGCCTAATTACCACTCTTGCGGGTGGAAGCATTTCCATTCCATTTTTCACTGAGAAAGCTTGAATTCTGCAGAAAATGTGAAACACGTATCTAATGAATTTCCATAAAGATCCTTAGAAATAAATTTAGGCCTGAAACTTCAGTCAAACAATCTTTCAAGGAAGGAAAGGTGGATTTTGCCAAAAAGTGCGAAACACTCTTGAAATGAATTTGAACAAAGATCTTTGAAATACTCATTGTCAATTAAACGGACCTCGAAAATTGAGAAATTCAAGATTAAATTTTTTGTTTAAGTAGCGTTTTGTTGTTTTAAGCCCAATTGAAAAGATGACATACAAATTATGGGGCTAATTAATTAATTTATTATGGTAAACGTTTTTTAAGCATTTATAAGTCTTTATTTTGTCCTAATTTGACCTCTTCTCACCTAGAATTAGAGAAATTGTAACTTAAGAATATTTTAACTGCTGCATATTAAGGCGTTAAATGTTCCAAAGTAAGCTACAAAGTCAGCAAATATCTCTTAAGCCACACAACGTTTATCTTGCGTTTATTTTCTGTTTATTTTTCTAACTCTCCCGTAGTTTATAATTTACAAAGCACGCCAAGTGACCGCCATAAATTATGCACTAGGAAAAGTGCAGCAACGAGTTGCAGCGCTCCATGAGTGCAAACAGTTGAGTTCTAAATTTTTAAATATTAAGCATACGCCCAGTGAAGCCAAGCGACCGCGTTGCTGTTTGCCAGTTGACACATAGAGAAGAAGAAGAGATACGACGACCAGCAAAAAAAAAAACAGACTAAACACATGCCAAAAGTTGTACGCCCACACAAACAGGGCGAGCTGGGGCAAGGCCGAGGGGTAGATTGTGGCAAAGTGTTGGGGAAATGAAATGCAGACTGGCAGTCGCCTCGTTAGGCGGCAAAACTATGCATGCAATATCCGCCCACAGTTTTTTGTTTGCTTCTTTGTGCAACAGTAATGAAAATCCTTGCAGGACACGTTTCCAGCTGGAATTCGACATGCAAATTGCTTGCTAAACAATTAAGTTCAGTGTCATTTACAAGATGAAACATTAAATGAAACTATTGTCGCCGCATGTTGTTGTTTACGTGGTCCCGTTTGCAGTCGGCATGTCGCATCAACTGCCAGCTCAACTTATTCCAATTAACAGATGCAATGGGTCGGATACACGCATTACGTTCAGCTGATGCCATAACACATTGTATTCCGAGAGCATGACCTTCAAACGAATGCGGCTTTAAAGCTCCTTTACGCCTTACAACCGAATTCCATGATGCGGTCGATTCCGTGTATTGCTTTGACATTTGAAAGTAATTAGCAAAATGCTTGAGCATAAGACACGGGCTGCCTAAGTGCAAATAATTGCATTAAGTTCACAATCCGAAATTATTTCATTTGCGTTGTTTTCCTAATTTAGCAAATTTCCATTTGCTTAATTTAATTGGCCTTTATTTTAATTGGCATATTCATGTAGGTCTTTTGAAACTAAGGGGGAAACAAACTATAACAAAAGCAAAACAAGTGCATGATAAACTTTATTAATACTGAAAGAACAAATATTAAAGTGAAGTAAAAACTATACATTTTATGTCGAACCCCTTTGAGTATACTAAAACTTATTTTGAGCCAACGACAAGTTAATTAGAAAATATGCTGACAAATTTTCAATTCATGGGTAAAAGGGTTTGTGCAAAAGTTATACAACAGGCAGTAGGTAGCATCATCGACCCCATAAAGTACTTATATACATTCGCGATCAGCATCATATATAAGAATCTCAGAAGCTATAAGAACTATAGTCTTGAAATCTTAAACGTAAGTCGACTTAGTTCCCGCGCAGTACGAGTTTGTTTCCGAGTATCGATAACCTTCTAGTTCCCAAGCAATCGATAAGAATCGATGTCAATATCCTACGTTTTAGCTAGAATCAACAAATTTGACATCTTTCATTTGATTGTTATTAATTTTTTCTTTGCAACAGGGCAGGGTATTCCTCCGTCGGGTACTCGGGTACCGACTAAAGCCAATTGTTATTTTTACATTCATAATTTCATGCGTCCTGCTGGCTATTTTGAAATATTAATAAGTTGTGAAAATTATTAAGGTATTTCTCAATAAGAAATCAATTTCTGTGTACAATATTTAAGTGAAGCAAATATTGACATTTGATCCTTTGAATGTTTTAAACGAAAACTTTAAGGGACAGTCCAAAATATATGTATTTACCTTTCGTAACTTTTGAAGCAGAATAAACTGTGTTTTTTTATTTATCATTCGAAATTAAATTCTGAAGTTAGCAAACCCCAAATTGCCCAAATACTTTTTGCAAGACGACAGATGCTTCGAATTGAAAAACTTGTAAGCATAAAGTCACCAAACAAAAAAAAAGGAAAAAGAAACATGGTGTCAGTCAAAGCTGAATACGGAAATGCCAATTGCTTGGCCCTGAGGTCCTTTTTCATAAATGAAAACAGGCGCATCAGAACACGTGCAAGCCGTCTGGCTCCAAGGGGGCAAAAAGGGTCGCACGCATTAAATCTAATAGACATGCTAATTGCTGGACCCGAAAGCCAAGCCATTTAATTGCTATAATCGCCTTTGCACACAAGCGGACCGCAAACCGACCGTGGCATCTCCGACATTTGTCGGACAATGGAAACGCTCTGTGACACCTGCTGGCCGCTTGGCGTATGCGGCTGCCTGCATCTGTAACAAATCGCTGCCACCAGCCAAAACAGTTTCAGTTACAGTGACTACAAAAAGTTGGCCACAGGCGATTTACTGCAGCTGCTGGAATAACAAATGCCAAATGCAAAACATACGCATACGTCTTGTTGCACTAACCAATGATGCACTCCCCACTGTGTTCTGTGGTTGCACTGCGGCCGCAGCCACAACTACAACCACCCAGCACAACGACAACTGTTTAGTTCCATTTTTTTTTTTTGTTTTTGCCATTTCCTCTAGCGGCCACAAATCATGCCCAACACGGCATTAAGCTCAGAGCTTCCATGTGTTAAATTGATTTGATTACACGATAGGCGCGCGCTCTATTTCGGAGGCAATGTATTTATACCCTGTATCTATGCACATAAATACATTGGGCATTCAAATTATATACAAAGATATTAAAGACAAGACGCTGATCTTAGAGGCTGAAAACATAACATTTTTTGAATAGCTTCCGGTTTAGACTGCAATTAAATTTATTTTGAAATTCTTTCAATAGTTTCTCCAACCGAATACTTGACTTTAGCTGGATGCAGGGCAGCTGGTAGTCGTGCAACCTCGACAGGTGTATATTTTTACGTGTTTTATTATTATGTGCGCGTGTTTTGCTTGATTTGTTTGCCTAATTGGTGGGCGGGCGGTGTGAATGAAGGAGGCCAAGGAATTTGATGCCGCAGGTGTGCGAGCGCCAGTGGCTTGAGTTAGGCCACTTTAATTTGATTGATGTGTGAAAAGGTTGCATAATAGGATTATATGAATGACTGCGTATCAGTTTTGTGATACTTATAAGCGGCAACCATTTCCCAAGGATATCGAATGCCACAGCAAATTGATAAGGAAACGAAAACAATGTCCTTAAATAAGTGTGCGGATTAGTGCATTATTCGACTAATTGATAAAGTAATTAAAAGATTACTTTGTAAATGACCCCAGTTTATTAGAGAAATCAATTATGGAAATGCGTTTCACTTTAATGAAAATGAAATTGGTTTTTAAATGAATATAAAATATATATACCACCGGAACTAAAGCTTACTGCAAGTAGTCAACGGCAATTAAAATAATTTATGAGAACATCAAGTGGTTTTTAATGAGATATGACAGACAGATCGAGCAGCTCTTCCGGGTGCATTCAACCCATCTTAACAAGAGTTGAAAATGAGGAAAATGAATGAAATGTGTGCTTATTATTTAGTATTTAACGTATTAACGATTTGTATTAATTCAACATCGCATTAATATCGCATTTAATCGTTAATTAATTATTAATTTAACATCGCATTTAATAATTAATCGTAATTCTTTATTGTATTTATACATATTTAAACTATTATTGAATTTATTATTGGCTTCAGCTTTGTTTCGCTGAACAGCTTACTTTTTTCAATCAGGAATTAAATATTATTATTTGCTCTTTAATTACCACAATTTTATTGACTTGTGTGGCCACATTTAATATACACAATACTAACAGAAAGTCAAACTTTTTAGTTTAGTTCTACACCGAAAAGCTTAAAATTCGCAAGTAGGAATTAAATATTTATTAACACATTTTTATTCTGTCAACATTTTTAGCTGCACAATATAAATGGCAACCAGGTGCAAATATTGCTTTAGTAGAAAAAGCAATTAATATCAATAGAAAAACTGTCCGCATAAAGTTTGGACATTCTTAGTTTCTGCATCAATTGCTGCACAAATAAGCAAGTTTGGGGGCAAAAGTTTGTTCTTACATTGAGCGCTAAGCATCACCTGACCAACAAAAGCCTTGTACTAAAGTCCTTCCATTTTTCATTTCCTCTCTTACAGCTTAAAGTGTCAACGACGCGTGGCAGCAGCAGCAACAACAACAGCAACAACTGCAATTGAGGGACTATTAAAAGCACTGCTCGCAGTGTGAGGCATAAGCGGAAAGGCAAGCAAAGCGCGACAAAAAGTCAAAGTCACGCCCACACTGGCAAGGACGACGGACGGAAGAGCAACAGAGTGTGTCCAAGTGCGGGCGCACAGGTGTGACCCTGCAACAGCCAAAGCAATAACAAAAACAACAACAACAAAAGCAACCACAGCTAACACAACAATTGCGGCGACACAATTTATGTTACAGCAAAAGTTGCACGGTAAATTTTTAAATGCTACGCAGCCGACTAGCCACAGCCGCCAGGTAGCCTCCCCCGATCATTGGAACAGCAAATAGAGTAGCATCCATGAGCGCCGCAGCGGCAAGGCTGCTGTTGCGCCTCGAGCAGCCAGTGCCGGGCGTAATGCCGCCACCGGCACCCGCCGAATACGATTGGGCGCCCATTAGCGTAGATCAATTTCTGGCCAGCGCAACGGGTCGCAGTCAGGAGGATGCGGTGCGCTATGAGCTAGCGGATCCGCTGGGCAGCACACTGGCACCATTGATATACGATGTGGGCCAGCGTCTGCTGTTCAATGGCAGCTCTGCCACACAAAATGGCAACGACACGTACACAGATCTCTTTCCGCAAATGGAGGATATGGGCGATGAGCCGAACTGGACGCGCATCTGTGAGGAGGTTTACAATCCGCAGCTGGAGAATAATCGCATCGAGTTTTGGGTATGCGGCGTCATACTTAACATTGTTGGCGTACTAGGCATACTGGGCAACGTGATATCCATGATAATCCTGTCCCGTCCGCAAATGCGCTCCAGCATTAACTACTTGCTAACTGGCCTGGCGCGCTGCGACACGATGCTGATTATTAGCTCCATGCTGCTGTTTGGCATACCCTCCATTTATCCATATACGGGCCAATTTTTTGGCTACTACAACTATGTGTATCCGTTCATATCGCCGGCAATGTTTCCCATCGGCATGATTGCGCAGACCGCCAGCATCTATATGACCTTCACCGTCACCCTGGAGCGCTATGTGGCCGTCTGTCATCCGTTGCGGGCGCGTGCTCTATGCACCTACGGACGCGCTAAGATATATTTCATAGTGTGCGTCTGCTTTGCACTCGCCTACAATATGCCCCGGTTTTGGGAGGTGCTCACGGTGAGCTATCAGCTGCCCAACTCGACCGATGTGCTGCACTGCGTGCGGCCCTCGCCACTGCGACGCAATCCGACCTATATAAATATATATATACACTGGTGCTATCTGATTGTGAACTATATAATACCCTTTCTCACGCTGGCCATACTCAACTGCCTGATCTACAGGCAGGTGAAGCGTGCGAATCGGGAACGCCAGCGCCTGTCCAGATCGGAGAAGCGTGAGATCGGGCTGGCCACAATGCTATTGTGTGTGGTCATTGTCTTTTTTATGCTCAACTTTTTGCCGCTGGTGCTGAACATCTCGGAGGCGTTCTACAGTGTGATCGATCACAAGGTGACCAAGGTCTCAAATCTGCTTATCACGATCAACAGCAGCGTCAACTTTCTCATTTATATCATATTCGGAGAGAAGTTCAAGCGCATTTTTTTACTCATTTTTTTCAAGCGACGCCTGAGTCGTGACCAGCCGGATCTTATACACTACGAGAGCTCCATTTCGAACAACGGCGACGGCACCATAAACCATCGCTCGTCCGGCCGCTTCTCGCGACACGGCACCCAGCGCAGCACCACCACAACCTACCTGGTCGCCACGGGCGGCGGGGGCGGCAACAGCTCACTGAACAGCGTGCGGCTGACCCAGGTGTCCGGCTCGCCCGGCCTGCTCAAGATCAAACGGAATCGCGCTCCATCGCCCGGTCCGGTCGTTTATTATCCGGGTCCACGTGAAATGCATCGATCCGTTTCCACCAGCAATTCGACAACCAACAATAATACGGCGCTCGGCTACGACTGGACCGTGGATGGCAAGAAGTTGGGACACGTCTCCTCCGGCTTTTGAGGCCGCACAAGCACATACAGTGCAGTGTAATCGCTAGTCAACTAGCCTACATGTGTAAATAACTATATATATATATATATACATATATACATCTATTTAAACATGTTTTTAGTGTGTAAACCTGAGCGCGCCAAGCGTCGCGTTACTTTGTGATAAGCGTTAAGTGTTTCTCTCCATTTTCTCTACGTCAAGTTCTCTTCGACAGCTCTAGCCGTTACATAACCGATCAAATAGCTAATAGGCCACAGGTGCAGCAAAATTTCAGAAAAACACGCAGATAATTTGAGACTCTTTATACAAAAGAAACTTTCCTTTTAAATAATACCCAAAAACAAACGTTTTAAACCATTTATGTTTTAGCTTACATGATTATGTTGTTTGTTAATATACAAAATATGTTTTCCTGGCAGTTTTTTAGATGAAAGACTGACATTAGATGGGCGGCACCACAGAAACAGATTGAGCAAATAGCTAACCGCGTTGCTAGACTGAATTGGATAAACTAGAGCTAAACTAGGCATAAAACTATTTTAATTAAAATGTTGCCCCTAATACATTTATCTCTTTGAAACTATATTAATATATACATTTAGTATAAATATCGACAACGTCCTTTATATACAACAAGTACGTCCTCGATATGTGATACTTGGCGACGTCATTTTTGTCCAACCTTTGCTCGCAGCTGCTTTGATTTGTTCTAGAAAATGGATAGTTAAAGAACTCAGCTATATCTAAGCGTAATCCCAATGTCCTTGATTAAATCGCTCGAGCATAGTTGCATTTCGAGCACAAAATTCTTAGAAGAGTGTCTAAGCGTGCTATATGAAATTTTGCTGTACTTGTTGGACAAAATGCACACACACACACACACACGCACACCAGCTTGTTAATTATTTTTGGCTTTCAATTTCTCTCAATCAATTGAATTTGTTTCAATTTTGCACGAAATTAAGCCGTAAAACTTTTTCACGCCCAACTCTATGGATTAATGCCCGACGGGGAAGAGTCCGTGAAACTGAGCTGACCCAAGCCCGTTGGGCCATGGCTTTTTCTACAAGGAACTTTTATTTATTAGCATCAAGTTTTCGCTTTTAATTAAATATAGACTGCATTTTTCAGCTGAACTTGATAAATGATTTTCCTTTTTTTTTATTTCCTTTATTATTATTCGGCTTCTCTTGTTGCTGATTGGTTAGCTTTAAATTATAGAAAACTTTTTCATTTTGTTATCGATAGCAGTTCATATTTTTTTTGGCGATTGGACTTTTGGGTTCGACGTTGCAATATGCCAAGTTGTCGGAAAGTTAAAAAGTTAAGCTCAAAGTTCACTCAACAAAAGTCGGTAAATTCGATTAAATTGGTTCCTTTTAACACAAATACGAAAAAAAGGAAAAACGAATCAATTCGAATCAACTCGAAAGTAGCTCAATTTAACAATTACATTACAATTACACTTACACACAAACATACTTTGCTATGGTAAAAGACATCAGGTGTTCATGAATTGAATTTATTCAACTTACCTCCCAAAAAAAACTAAAACACAATGCTATTGTATAAAATTATAAAAGCTAACTGATTCTGTATATACTTCCTATATGATAATTATATACTTAATGCAAAGCATATATTGTCGACCTACAGAGATTGCGAATTAAATACAAATTTGATTTAGCTTTAGTTTAGTTTTAATAAAAATAAATATAATAATATTTAAAAGAAAAACCCACAACTCAAGTTCAATATTTGCTCGTGAGATTCAATAAAAATATACTTCAATATTTGTGAAAATTCAAGAAACAGCTGGTTGACATTTTTATTGAACAATGGAAGATAATTTGCTGGAAATAAAATCATAATTTCCACAGGACCTAAATGCAAATATACGCGTAATAGTTACGCTCTACTACATTCAAGGCTCACAGATTGAAATTGGTAACGAGTCTTTGGAATGGCTACTTACCATTCCATTTATAAGTTCCGCCCACAAAGGGCGCGCCTAAGAAATGCTAAGCCAAGGCTAATCGGAGCCGAGGGGAGGGCTTTACGCAGAGCTTTAAGCATTTGCCTATGCTAAGCACGTGGCGAGAGCTCGAGAGTTTATGTCGCCGACGCCAGGACACAAAGGAATATCCCTCTAATAATCATGGGGGTGTTCGGAGAAACATGTCTTTAAGAATGCTGGACTAGAAAGTACCCTGTAGCTATTTGAAATATGATTTAAAACAACTTCAGATGAAAAACCTTTAATATAAGCAAGCAAATGCCTAGCTAGCTTAGAGGAAGGTTGCTTCAACCCAAATGCACTAAACACCAAGAAAATGATGTACTAAAAATACCCTATTGCTATTCTAAAGTATATTGTACGTAAGGATACTTTTTGCGCAACTGCAAGCCGCGCTCAGAGTTTATGTTCAGCCCACAAAGGAATATCAATATAATCATAATGCACCACATCTTTGAGAGTTATGTACAAGCACATACCCTGCAGCTGCCCAGGGCCACCCCAAAGAGATTATAACGTTGGCAGAGTAGTTGTTACGTTGAGCCGACTGAGCAGGTGCTTTTAAGCAGGTGATAATTGGCCCAATTGAATTATGCGCGTTATGCGTGAGCACAAGACATAAACGGCAGCAAAGAGAAACCAAATCAATGCATTAATTAGAGAATCGGTAAATTTATGCGTGTGCGTACCCCAAACCAGACGCAGCCAAATTATTTGGCACGTTTATGGATGCGCCCAGAAGTAGGCTATGAAAATTTGCCACCGATTGAAGATGGCTGCCCGTGGCAACAAGCAAAGGCGAGCTACTCGCTCGCTCGCTCTCTCTCTCTCTCTCTCTCTCATGGGCCTTTGTTGAAACTTTATTATGCCTGCCACATTCGAGTGCCGCTTGGCTTTGTGATAAAGACAATAAATCAGTTCGGATAATGTCAACAGTGAGAGGTCGTTTAAAAGGCGCAGCAGCAGCAACAATAGCAAAACCCCAGACAGACCCCAAGTAGAGTTATTTTTAGTGCTGATGACTTTCTGTTTGTCAACGGAGTCTAAACAGTTTGATGTGTTTTTAATGCCATGAGGATTATCAGGCGCAGCGACAGGAGGATGAAGATGAGTCTATGACGCCGATGCTCTTGCTCTTGTTGTTGTTGTTGTTGTGTTTTTGCTTCTCCAGCCTTTGACAAACGATATCGACATTGTGCTTTGTCACAAGCACAAAAGGTGTTGACCCCGTCATGGTGTTGGCAAATTAATTAGCTGCCTTTGTCAACTACAAGCACATCGAAGCTGCAAAGCCTCAAATTTAATTAATCTTGGCCATGTGCTGCTCAAATTGCAAATGCCAAATTCTAAGCCAACTTTTGCTTAGTGTTCAAGGCATTTTTGCGTCAACTACAAACTACAAAGCAACCAGACAAAACTCGACTTCCGTATTCCCAGGGCAATACTTTTTGGCTAAATGACAAGCACTTGTTTTGTATCTGCCACGAAGATCTTAACTACCCTGCGGCTGCTGCTTCACGAGCTTCAAGTTTAGGCATAACTACGCCTCCAGGCATTAAACATTGAGCACTGACTCCGCAGCTCCACAGCTCCCGAGCTTATACAATTAGCTTTGAACGCCCGCAATTATATTGCCACCCACAGCTCGACTGAGCTTCCATTTGTATGGCTGGTTGCCTGGTTTGGCAGCCAATGTACCATAGTCAAAAAAAAAAAAAAACAACACTCGGCAAACAATGAGAACATACTGCGTTAAGTGTTCTACATGGCGCGTGGCTGGCTAAAAAACAACATGCCCAAAATAACAATAGAAATGAAATTGCTGTCCGTATGTTACCCTATTAAAATGGGGTATAAAACAAGCGAAACGTCGCATACAACCTATTAAGCAATGCTCTATTCACATTCTTGGCTAGGCGATTTCATTTATAAAAATCAAAGGCACAGATTATCCGGTTGAGATATTGGGTAAATTAGATTTTTGCGCAACGCCTAGCCGAAATTTTATAATAAATTGGTTATAAATAAGCCTCAATATATCATGGAATTAGGAAGCAGCTTTAACCAAGTCAATAATTTTATGAATTTTATAAAATGATGAATTGAAAAATATGAAAAGGCTTAAAGCAAAAGTTGTCTTCATAGATATGGATAATCAGCTTCACTTACCGAGGCCGGGCTTATAGCCCTGGGTTCAATATTGTTCTAGGACTGTCTTCTCGTAACCTTATTCTCAATTACCTAGACGAAAATGAATATCGAATTCGAGATATTCTGACTACCTTTTCCAATGACAATCGTTTACAATATTCCTTAAGTTGCTCTATATCAAATCCTTCAAGCTGCAATTAAACATGTTGCACAATCCAACACTTAGCTAACAAGCCAGCTTGACACTTGCCCTGACAGACAGGGTATCAAAAAAGGACAACGGAAACCCTAATCGCACGTGGCGCCTCAACGACAAGTGTGCTACAACATTTTGCAGGCCATATTTTTAATGCCGTTCGCAGCTGTCGCCAACAGTGGCCACTGGTCACTGAAGGATTTTATTTCTGAACACGGCGAAAAGCGCTTGAAAAACGCGTCGTCTGTCCCCGGCAGCGACCGACAACCGGCTTAAGTGCATGGGTATGAAATATGTAAGAGCAAGAGGTTGGGGCATCACCAACGCACCACCGCACCACCCCCTGGCGACACAATGGCGTGGCGCTGACAATGTGTCGAGCTCTGCGGCGGCGTTTCACTTCTGTCTGCACTTGTTCAAACTTTGACAAGGATCCCGCAGCCAAAGCAAAGACTGTGGCCGAGAGAAAAATCAACACAAAAAAAAAACGAAGAAAAAAGGAAATGTGAAAGGCCACAAAACGTGAATGAATTTTCGTTCTTCAGCCAGCGCATGGACTATTCGCAAAATATTGATTTTTGGAATGGCAATCGGAGTCAATGCTAATTTACAATTTGTATGCAGGCAGAAATTAAAGCAAAGGATGAGCTAAAATGGTACAAAAACTGAGCCGAGTTCGATGACTTGCCAGTTTAGCTCATCCCCTTTCGGTTTATTTACGCTCAATTATGGTAGAAATTCATTTATAAAACACAGCTTGGGCAAATAGGTATCAGGCACCATGTGCATCATTTTCTCGTTGCCGCTGTTACGCAACTTTTCCACATCCTTCAGGCTGTTAACACCCGTTCCCACGAAAAGTGATTGAAATCCATTGTAATGCGCAAACAAAATATCTGTTGCAAGACTGCAAGCACAAAAAAAAATAAATAGACAGAAAGAATGCATTACATGATTGAATACAGGGTATACCCTGTCCCCAATAATAGTGGGTAACAAGAGCAGATTGGTTTTCTGTAAGAGCTTGTAACATGCCAAAGAAGGTTTCTCCTCAGCTGTAAGGCACATCGATATTGGAAACTACAAAAGCTATCGACCAGAAACTTAAACATACATATTCTGATATATAATTTACAGATCGAGCTTATCGAATCTTTTAAATATTATCGATAAAGACTAAGACCTAGAGGCACAAAATTTGCTATGAAGATCTTGAATATTTTAATTTTTGAATGACCCATTCCACACAAATTTTAAGAACTATGTGACATATTTAGGAACTGATAATTTCATACAGATCGGACAATAAAGACCGAAGTTATTTAAGAACGCAATACCCATGTGAGATGAGCTGAGTGAAGAGAGAGAATGATCGAATACTTCTGCTTCCTCCGAATATATCACCCAACTAGATGGTATTATAACCTTCCCCATAAAATACATATATTCTAGATCTGCATCAGCCAAGTTGATGCCATGCCACGTCCGAATATCCGTCAGTCCGTCTGTCTATCTGCAAAAGGCAAATATCTACAAAGTGTAAAAAATCTTCGTCGTGCCGAAGATATTCAGACTTTGTCGTTTAACTTACGTATCGCCGATCATTAGTGTAGTTTCCGGATTTATAACACCACAGGTAACTGGCTCCCTCAATAACCAGGGATTGGGTTTGCCCATAATAAGCGGCTTACGTCCACTTACAGTTTTAATTGCCGCTATCATTGCCCCTGCCCCAATAATGATACGATTATTGGCAATGGGATAGAGCGTGTCCAGGCAGGTGCCCAGGAAGAGGGTTTTTCGATTTCGCAGATAGTTGCAAGCTCTGATTATGGTGGTCACATTGAATGTGTCATCCTTGCCAACAACAACTGCACCAACATCCGGATCCATTACCATTTCCATAGAAACTTGATGCATGGGCTTCTCCTGCTGCTCGGGCGCAACGGTAAAAGAACATATATCCAGCTTGTCCAGCTCCTCGGTAATGCCGGCATCGCCCACAACATATACCTTCTTTTGAAAATTTTTGGTCATCAGATAGTTGGCTATGGACATTGATGAGCTAAGAATATGACTCTTGTCTACATCTAAGCCCATATCGTTGGCCTTCTTCACCAGTTTATCGCTGGACATTGACGAATTATTGGTCACAATAAAGTTGCGTTTTCCACTCGCCCGTATCTGATTGTAAGCCTCCACGGAGCCATCGATCGCCTTATTAAAGTGCCACAGCACTCCATCCGCATCGAACACAACGGTCTCAAAGGTGCTCAGCCACTGGCGCACACGTTGCTTGGGTATTGTTGTCAGGTTGGTGCAGCTCTGCTTGAACATTGTTGGGGCACGAAAACCAGTATACAATTCAAATGCGCATTTCTGTTTGTACTCGATTCAAAAATTCAAAATTTATTGCCTGCCAACGCCAGACAAAGCACTCTACAACTAGTTTAAGCAGCACATTTATTTGCTCCCTTTTTTAGACTCGTTCAAAAAGTACAAAAGAGTATATTTTGGTTTTGTGCTAAATGCGTTCGTCTGGTATATCTTTTTATTTTCTTTTTTTTTTATGTACCTTGTTATTTACTATTCATGTCGAGATTATGTTGTCTTTATCAATTGGAATTGTGTAAAAACACTATTGAAGTTTGTCTTGAAATTTGAAATAAATACGAGTTTATACCCGCGTCAGATACAGTGTTCAGACTATATATTCACGCCTACTGGGGGAAAAATCTACATCTTTCATAGTTTTAGAGCAAGAGGGGATACATTTGGAATGAAGTCTGTACATGAGCTGTTTTCAGGATCCAGACTACACCCACTAGTGTTCTGCAAAACAATTGCTTTGAGCAACACTAATTCTTAATACAACATTTACAAGCTTAGACACAGGTATACACAGATCAACATAGATCTATTTATCTTGGTATTTGGTACTTGGCTTACGAATATATGTAGTTAATACTGCCCCTTGTTTAATTGCTTATGATACTCATGTCTCTTAAAAGGAAATCTTTCAAAGTAAAGCTAACCCCAGCCTAATTAAGAATCGACTATGCTTGGAATTCGAGGTCATTTCGAATGCTCCATTTTCGGATATTTCAGCATATCTTTATTCGACTATATACACTCATATGAGCGAGCTTTAGTATATGTATATAAGTTTGAATTAACCATTTTTGGAGGGTAGGAACTTATGCAAATCCGCAAGCTTGGGTAAAAATAGATCTGGAATTTGCTGGTACATCAGTGGCTTCTTGGACTCCTGTGCCTTAGCGACATCCGTGAGATTACTGTTGCCAGTGCCCACCAGAAGAGTCTGAAAGCCGCAATGGTAGCCAAACAGAATATCCGTGTACAAACTAAGGAAATCAGTTAATCAATAGCATATTCGAGCACCTCATAAAACAGCAGCTTACGTATCGCCCACCATGAGAGTGCGATCCGGCTTAATTAGGCCCTCACGTATGAGATGCAAGACGATGTAGGTATTGGGCTTGCCACAGGTAAACGGTGGACGCTTGGCCACCGCTTGCACGGCAGAAACCATGACGCCAGCGCCAGGTATATGGCGTTCCGGAGTCACAGCAAATGAACGATCATTATTGGTAGCCAGGAATAGTACCTTTGGGTTGCGCAAATAGCAGCAGGCTTTCGACAGTTTGAAGGCATTGAAATTGTTATCAATGCCCACTGCAACAGCACCTACAGCAGAATCCATAGGCATATGTTCGACATACTCGCGCAATGTAGTTCCCAAAGCGGGGGCCTCGTCCATTGGTAGTGACTCAATGCCAACGGCTGTCAGCTCATCGGCGATGCCCTGACCGCCGACAATGAAGACCTTGCCCTTAAATTTACGCTCCTGCAGATAGCGAGCCAGTGCGCCCGATGAAGACAGTATCTCGTCCTCGGCTATAAGCAGGTCCATGCTCTGGGCCTTGCACCAAAGTTTTTGCCGCGACGAAGCCGAATGATTTGTGCAGATGAACGCCCGTTTGCCCATGGCACGCAAGGCATTGAATGTCTCTGGTGCTCCTGGTATCGGCTTGTCCGAATTCCACAGCACCCCATCCGCATCGAAGATCATCGTGTCGAAGGTTTTCAGCCATTGCTGCACACTGAACCTGTTCAAGGCAAGCAGCTGGCAGACGCCCTTCTTTATTTGTATGCTGGGTATTGACGTATTCATAACCGCAGCTGGGATCAGTGTGTGTTGAGTAGTTAATATTTTATTATAACAATAATTTTTCTCCTCTTTATTTTTTTTTGTTCAGTTCTATACAGTTTCGTTTATTGAGGCCTTGTAAGTGTGCTACAACTAAAACATGGATCACTGCTTTTTAAATGGAAAACTGTTTTTATGATGAAAACATATTTTCATATGGAAGTGTTCAGACTTGAGTGTTGTATTCGTAAAAACTAGAGAAAAGGCATATCTTAAAGGGCCAAATATGAAATCCCAATGCCAAAAGAAGGGATTTGTTCGCTTCTCAATACTGAGCTTGACAAAGTTATATTTGCCACGAACTTTTAAGAATTAACAAAGCTTTAACAAAATAACTTTAGGTTAGTTAAGCTTAAGCTACTTGGGAATTACAAAAGCTACGCTCTAGATTTATGTTAGTGCAATAATACATTTTTTTATTTTTTCTTTAATAAAATAAAAAAAGAATTACCATATACATATAAAGAAAGAAAAATTACATCAGCATTAACATTGTTTTTATAATTCCCAAGTATTTAAAGCTTAAGTGAACTACCTAGGAACTTCAAAACTTAATATTATGGTAAGTGAGCTTTTTTACTGCAATATCAACCGCTCTAAGAGTAGCTTTTGTAATTCCCAAGTAGTTTAAGCCTAAGTAACTGTCAGTTATATTGCTAATCACAGCTAATTTAGATTAGTCAGTTCTGCGCAGCTCTGTGAGCTAACCTAATGTCAAACAAATTATACAAAAAGGCAACATTCTCTCTGTCTTGGCATTAATAAGACTCTTGTCGCAACTTATCAGCGTAAAGTCAAGTTCTCTAGAAATTTGCAACTTTGCTGGGAGAGCGGCTTAGCGCCTTGTCGCGCAGCTAGACATTGGCTGACAATGGTCACCCAGGAGCCGACTGCAAGGTCATCGCTGTGGCATTTAATTCACTAAACTTTGCACATTTGTTATTTGGGCTGAAGAGCCGAGTGTTGCGGTCCAGTTGCCCGCTGAGCATTGGCGCAACTTTTAATTGAGCGCAATGGAATGGCCAAAGCGAACATGAAAGAAGAATCGCAACAGAAAGAGGCGCCTTTTAGTGTGCTGTCCAAATCGTTGGCGCGTCTGTCAGCATCAGGCTCTGGACACCCGCGGCGCCAATTAAATTGGCATTTGACTTGGGTGTTGCTGTATTTCTGGCCCTCAACTTAAGCGTGTCCGAGAGCCGACACTTGTCCAGCCGCACCTTAGCATTGATTCATTAAAACGTGTTTGCTCGCCGGCTATTCAGCTTTGGAATTCGCATAAATCCACAGCAATTTAGCGGATTTCCTAGGCTGCGTGTCGTTAGTCGTGTCAGATGGCCGCCAGCCATTCCCAAAGCATATTGTGAAAGCGAACCATTTTAAACGCCAGAACCGCAAATTAGACAACCAAATTTAGAGGCCTGTTAGGCCTCTAACGGCAAAGCCACAACAACTTTTTGTTAGCAGCTGAAAAGTATGCTTTAAAAAAGTGTTTACCACAATTATGAAATCCGACGCTAAACTCAATGAATTAAGCACAAGCATCTACAACTTGGGCTTTTTAAAAATTGTAGCCTCTTTGCGTTTAATATTGGACGGTTTCAAAGTTTTTTTTTTTTAATTTCATTTAATTTCATGGGATACAACGGTTGGCTTGCAGGTCCCTCCAAAAATCTGTCGTTGACACAGAACTCTGAGAGATTTTAGTTTCCGGAACAATCAACGAGTCAGCTCTTTGTTAATCAAGCATTGTTACTGCTCTATGGGAATATGTCAGCCTGCAGCACTGACCCTTTTGTCAATTTCATCAATTAAATACATATTTAATGCCCGCTTTATGTATAATTAAAATGTGTACACGGCCCTAATTTCAATTGCACTTCAGAGCGAAACACAAGGCCTTGACCAATTCAATGAAATCAAAAACTGGGAACTATTTTACAGATTAATTATAGCCAAATGGAATCATTTTGGTCGAATGCTTTTGCGTGGTTTTGTTTACCAATATTTCACTAAAGATCTTCTAAAATACAATTTTTGTTGTTAAATCCGATGTGAAGCGTCAAAGGGCGTATCAGAATTCTCCGAAAATATATACGTATACTTTTTATTCCACCCATTGGTTTTATTTAATATATATTTTCTTTGGAGGTGTTTTTGGCAAAATAGCAGATAATTAATTGAATTTCATATGAATTCAAAATATTAGCCAAGCCCAACGAATTTGATTGATTAATTGATTTGGCAGCCAGGTAAACAGAGCCCGGGTCCAAATAAAGCTCCAGGACTAGTGAAGCAGTGAAAAACGTTTGTTTTAAGAATTTCTTGCTAATGTCTTTGAACGAAATCGCTTTTATTTTCCGTTCGCATGGTTTCCAAGCAGTTTATCAAAAATGCGCTTCTCTTGAAAAAAAATAAAATAAAAAAACATGGGAAAAAATGTAACAAAACCCAAATTGAACAGACAAAGTTTGTTAAGACTATTGCGGCTGCTTTGGTTCTTGATGTTAAAGGCCAGGTAGTTGTCAATAGGTCCCACCGCTAAGCGGGCCCAAACGAAACGGGGCAAAAACCGAAACTTTTTTATTAAGTTTAACAAGACCAAGTTAATTTCGGAGGCCCGTGTGTTAATGTACTGCGTTTCTAATTAATACCTTGAAGACTTGAGTAAATTGACAGCAGCAAGAGAAAGCAAAAATTTACTTGATTTATATGTTAATTACTTACCTTGCAATACGGCGCTGAGCAATTACAAAACTTATGGAGAGACACACAGTTGGAATTTAAGTTTTGCTGCCAAATGTTGACTGCGTCTGTGTTGTCACTTGCCACTAATCGGACGACAGTAGGCAGACACAATGGCAACAGCTTTAAATTATCGAACGGCCATGCATAAATCATGCGCAGATATCATAATTTTCTCAACTTCTCCTCTCGTAGAGGCAGCACAAATCACAAGGCCTCAAGTATGGTTGCCGTTGCTGTGATTGATTTTGCTTTTACGCAATTCCAATTGTCGGATGAAAACAATCAGTCTGAATGAATGCCACACGGGCATGATAGAGCATTGCCTTAGTATTGCAGTTTTTATTAGCAAATCCTCAGAAAATTACAATTTTGGTTTAAGTTTCAATACCAAAGTATGTTAAGCTTCCTTTAGGGAAAGCTACAGTTATTCGCAACGTGCAGAAGATTAAACTAGAGCTAGATTTAGATTTACACAATTTTCACGCTTGCTAGAGCAAAAAATAGCAAGACATTTTGCGAATAGACCTCAAAAGCGACAAAAGACAGCACACAGCACACACAGCACAGCACACAGCACATTCAGTAAAATTAAGTCTTTCAATTAAAGATTTACTATCCACGCATGTATGTGACAAGTTAAACATAGGATAACGCGTCAAAATCCGTCAACCAGAGGTCCTTTAAGATTTTTCTATTCTTTTCATTACCAACTAAATGCATGTTGAGCGGCATTTGACATTTGAGATGTGGCTCCGGTTGCTACGCAACTCAGCAAATTTTTGTTTTAAGGAGAAAGATAAAAAACATTTACGTTTTCTGAAACGTTGCATGTACCCTTTTATTTATCTACTTTTTATTTATCCTTAACCGATTAATGCTTCTTATATTGCGTTTCAATTCGCCCGAATTGTTCTCTAATAAGAACAATTAAGATAGCTTTAAAACTGTGTGACAGCTTTGAACATGAACAGGAAAATGACATTCCATTATTATTATTCCAAATGTATTGCAGCTATCATCATCAAATGACCCTCGGAAAGGGTATACAAATTCCAGCTAATGCTGCAGACGTCTCATAGCTGTGTCAACCAACTAGCAAACTGTGCGCCACATAAGAGGTAAATGCAAAATGCAATGCAACAGAAGCTCCCATGACGATTAAATGCCTGTGGCGCACATTGCGTATGCATAATACCATAGCGCGGCAAAGCCCTTGGGGCGTGACAGATTAGGTTTTGGGGTGGGAGATGGAGAGAGATAGCGAGAGAGAGGGAGCGAGAGAAAGCCCAACAAGCTATCGGCGACGGAACAGACCACGGCAAAGCGTCCAGCTCTTTATTTGGCAGCTTTAAAAATACAAAAAAAAATATTTAAAGCAAAAAACAAACCAAAACATGAAACTGGACAGCAGAAAATTTCATAAAGCTTCACTCGACAAAAACTTTATTTAGATTTTGGAAGGTTAAGGTTGAGAGGCCCGATCCTAAAGCTAACAGCAAAAAATCGGGTTCCTCTGATATCCATGCAACCCCTTCTAGCTTCAGCTTCTATTCTTGTTCTACAGACCCCTGTGACAATTCCTTGGCGGCAGTTACAGGGTATTAATATAGCTTAAAGACTGCTAAGCAGTCAATTTCAAACTCTTAGCATGATCATCAATTTGATTTTGCACTTGAGCCAATAACTGACAGCTCGAGGATATCACAAGGATAATATCTGATGACTGTAATTTTAGTTATGAATATGCACTTTTATCTGTGTCAGGGACTTCGAGGCTTAATTTCCAGCGATAATATTAAATATTTACGCACTCGTATTGTATGATTAAACGAAGCACCACCAAACATGCAACGTCAATCATTGTAATTTATAACGTAGTCAACGCTAACTTCAAGCCATAATTTCCGCTTATATGCAATAAGTGCAAACGTTTCGGTTGCGCCACGTATCTGTATCTGGTTGCCACAATTCGTGGAGCCAACCAGCGTACATGTATATTTGCTTTTATTTTCTGTTTTCGGTTCGCTGTTGCCATTGCCATTTGCATTCGTGTCCGGCGGCGACTGGCCATACAAACTGCCGTTCGTATCATAAATCATTTTAGCCACGCTCACAGAGATAGGGCGACAGACTGAGCATTGATTTAAGGGCATGGCAAATGGCCTAGTTGCAGTTTTTTATTTTTGTATGTTTGTTTTTGCTAGCCGCAGCCAAATGCGTTAAATGCTTTGGCCCTGCGCTGGCCAGCACCCGGCAACTAGACGTCATGCTACCCTGTCTAATCAGCCGGCGTACCACATGGCGTATGATTATGGGAACGTGTGCTG